AATCAAAATCAATAACTGAGGAGGTTTTTGAAGAGGTCAGTCTGACATTAAGTCTCTTTGAACATTTTAGTGAAAAGGCAGCCTAAGTTATTTAAAACTTTTATAAATAACATTGGGAAAATATGTTCTGAAAATCAATATGCATTATTGTGGCATGACTATTCCAGCCTACCACAGTAATGAACAAACGGTTTTGCTAACTTCTCCAAATACATTTTTAAGTATCATTTTCCTACTTCAAAATGTAGTCTTAACCAAGCTTACAATTTAAAAAATACATATATACAGAACTTTTGGGGAAGTACTATTCTAGTAAAATATGGTAAGGTAATCTTGTATGTGTTTTACCATATATAGTTCCTTCTTCACATAATGTGGTTTTGACTGGTTCTCTCACTTCCGATTAAGTCATCAAGTAATAATAAACTGTGATCTATAAATATTCTTTGAAATGGCAACTACAAACGTTGTCTGCCTCTATATAAAAATTAGGCTTCTTGGCAGCGTTAAACAGTATTATCATTATTCATAAACTCAAGAAAAGGAAGGCATTCACTTTAGTCTCCCTAGATGGAAGGTTTTAATGGCAACAACCAAGGCCTGCAGTATTTTATCATTAGTCCTAAAATTCATTTTATCTAACACACACACTCAAATTTATCCCTGCTGATATTGCTACATAGTACTTCTATTACATATTTTGTGGACAAGTACTTTTAGCCACTTTCTACTAATGACTATAAGAATTGCCAAAGTTATATCGAATAACTGTGGTGCCAATAAATTAATGTTCTAGTAAGAGCAAAGAAAAATAATATTAATTAAAATAAATTAATATTTTAGTAAGGAAAAAGGCATGAGTTACAAGTAAGGAAAGCAAAATAGTACAATATAACACACACATACAATTAGAAATGAAGCTATTTAGGTACTCAGCCAATAGTTCAAAAACATGGAACAGGGAGGAAAAGATTTTTGGGTTGAGAGAACATGATGTGAGAGATTGTTCTTATGAAGCAGAACAATCCAACCCTCTCACTGTTTACTGCATACTGTTTCCTTACACCACACTTCAGGCCTGCTCAATCACTGAAAAGTATTTTAAAATATATATATTTGCCCAAATTAACTTACAATATTTATTTATTTATAACTTTTATATGCCATCCCTTATGCATGGCATCTCAGGACGGCTTACAATCATTAAAATCAAAATACAATAAAACAATACATACAAATATAACATGCCATGGTTCTTCATTGGTTTTGATTTTTTAAGGGTACAATTCTATTGATTGCATCCTCACTGGTTAGAAACCACCAAACTCAAAAGATTCTAATCATCTAAGCTAAGGCAGATGCAGTAGCAAAGGCAATTGTCAGCTCCCCATCCTCCTGCCCCGAATTTTCATTGGATGGGCTTATTCACTCATCTAAACCAAGTACTTCAGAAAGGCAGGGAAGGAAACTGGAGAGGCCTCAGGTTAATTTGCATCCTGGCCTCCCTAGTATTGCTTCTCTGTCCACTGACACGCTCCCATTTTGCTATCTCAGAGGTTAGCTTTTCCTACTTCAAAAAGCAACCAGTACTGTTCCTTTCATCCTAACAGAGATGGATCTCCAATTTCCCCTTCCAAGGTTGAACCTCTGTCTCCAACTTCAAACAAAGAAATCCCCAGTATCCTATGGCCCCTTCACTGATCTCTAGGATTGCTCCCTTAAATTCTCTCCTTGCTAGTGACTCAGTTGCTAACTACAGCTAAAATAGTAAGAACCAGATAATAGAAATAGAAATATTTTCCAACAGTTACAGGCTAGTTACTTCAGAAGAAAATTCCTTCTCTTAAGCTGTTATTATAAAATTCTTTATTGGCCTCAATGGGATGCTTCCTCCCAGTGGATATATAATCCAACACTGCACGTGCAGAAAGCAAGCTGTAGCAGGACAGGAAAATGCCAAATTGAGAACATCGTATGGACTATGCAAGATTCCTCTCTCCAATTTTGGCTGATTCTCCTTTCCCATTGCAATCCAGTAAGACACATTTCACCGTAGATTCACTCATTCATTCATGATAGGTCTCCTTCCAACCCTCTAGGCTGGCTTTTTTATGGGGTACAGGGAACTGCAAGACAAAGGACAGAAAGAAAAATTCTATAGCTCAAGTTGCTTTCTGACTGGGCAACTCTGGATTTCAGTCAATGCAAATAGCAGCTTAAAAAAGAACTTTTTCAGGACCGTAGCAAGGCAGAAAAATGTTAAATTCTGCCTCCTTTCTTGCTGAGATACTGATAATTCTAAGACTCCTTACAAAAAACACATGTTCACAAACATGTAATTTAAAAAGTAAATTGTGAACTTGACAAAGGTATTGGATATTTATATAATATAGATACCCTGCCAGGGAGACAAGATTGGCTGCACATTTCTATTGCGTGTATGGCAATCTGGATTTGTTCCTATGTAATATGTGAAATTGACTTAGTTAAGGACTGAATATTTCACATCTTATTTTTATTAAAAATTATTTCAGTATCAAAGATGTTTAATAGAAAATTCATAATCCATACATGGTGAAGTCAGAAAAAGTGGCTACATAAAATCAAGGCCTATACTTTAAGATACACTAACACTTTTAATGAATTCTACTGTACTGAGTGTTGTATTTCTGATAAACTACTGATGTTACCAAATTAACAACATAACCCTACACGTCTAATCTCAAGTACATCCCACTGAATTACGCAGTATTTACTCCCCAGTGTATTTCTAGTTCCACCCTAAGTAGTTCTATCATACCAATTAATGTTGTTTTTGAAATGTCTACATCTTCAGGTCTGAGACTTTCATATCTTAACATTTATTAAATGCACAGCAGTTAGAATATAAAGGTATATATTTTGCACACATATTACATTGTCAGAGTTCTTAAACACTACACAAGAGTTGCACTCCCATATTTGGAAGCAAATGTTTTCTAATGCTACAAATGGAACATCTAAACTCATGGATTCACTTGCTGGAGGAGATTTAGTTATAGTAGAAGTGCTCTTCTACGGGCAAAAAGGATGTGTGCATATGTGTGAGGGAAACAAACATATCCACCAGGAGGCCTCAGTACATTCATGGAAAACTCCACAGATCTTCTAAGCCCCAAAATGGAGTATGCCAGGAACAGGCTTATATCTGCTGAATCCAAAACCCCTTCATTCCTGTAAGAACATCCATTGATTTAATTTAATTAAAACATTTCTATGCCGTCCTTTGCAACGTCTCATGATCCTGATCCTCAAATACAGCAATCTTCCCCCACTCCCAGAAATGAGTGGGAAACAGTAAAAAAAAAAAAAAAATCAAAGGAGAACCACAGGTGAAATCACTAGAGGAAGACTGCAAAACAGCACAGCTTTCAATGATCTCCCCTGACTTCCTCCAGTCCCAAAGAATTTAAGAATTAAATAAGAATTTAATTTCTAGCTATAATTCTTCATCAACAAGAACTGCCTGCAATAATAAAGTCAATCTTAGCCTTATGTTCTCAAAATGAATGAACCTTGCTAATATGACATTCTACACAGTAGCAAAGATACAACATAATCTATTTTCTAAAACACACAAAAAAGCACATGGCAACTTTGAGAAGGCCTATTGCTCATACGAAGAAATAAAACATCTCCGCATATTCCATGCACACACCAAACACAGCTCATCTTTCTGCAGTGAAGAATGTTCCCACTGCTATCAGCACCGTATCTATTCAATTGAAAAAATGTTCTCAAATTATTTTTCAAAGGTCCACCTAACCTTTAGGATACTGTACCAAGTGTCATTTTAGTTATTTGTTGAAATGCAGGCTCTTGAGCTCAATATGCCACTTCTTTCGCTTATGTAGTGTTCTTAGATACACTTACAACCCAGCATTCCCCCCTGCTGGCTGGAGGTGTAGTTGCTGCTGAACATACAATTCTAGGAGAATGAGCAAGTTTGGTACTATTATTACTACTGCTACTTGTAGTCCTTTCAAGTGAAAAGGACTCAGTACTCAGATTTCTTGCTTTACTGACTGTGAAACACAGAAACGAGGTACAGAAGTAAACATATATTTAAAAAAAAAACATGAAATTCGGGAGAACTGGAAAGGTCTTTCTCCTAGCAGTGTAGGGGCCCCAAGCTCGTACTGGCCTCTTATATTCACCTGAAAGTATGGAGGAAAAAGCCAAGAGAACGTACGCGAGAAAAAAAATGAGTGGAGATGGGCGAAGAGGAGCAAGTGGGCAGAACCCTTCAAGAGCTAACTCCATGAGTCTGCGGGGGCACACTTAGACGAAGTGGGGCTACAGTTGATGCAAAAATGTAGACAAAGTAGCCTGTGTGACCTCTGATTGTGGAACCTCCTAATATACAACCAGAGCAGGTGCAAAAGCGGGAAACGCCCACAAGATCCGCGAGAAACCAGGAAAAGAGGCCAGGAGCCCTTGGAAAGAAAGAGCGGGGGTGGGGAGACTTCGCTGCCACCCTCCTGCCTTCGCAAAAGGGAACCACAGAGCCCCAGAAGGAATGCAAGGCTGCCACAAGCGATGGGCGCATATGTGGGAGTGAGCTCCACTGCATTTGCTGAGGTTGATTTCCGAATACAGGAGCGAACAAGAGGCTCCTTCTGGGGCCAGGCACCCACTTCCCTTCCCCCAGCTCCGCACCGAGGATACGCGCAGGAGGGACACGTTTGAACCCGCCGCAGTTCCTTCCCTCGGCTCCGCACCAAGGCGTTTTGCCCCGCCGCCCCCAGCGGTGCTCTCCTCACCCCAGTGCCGTTGTCGCAGACGACCACTTTCCTGCCCAGCGTATCCATCTTCCTTCCTCGCAGGGCCGAGCGAATGACTGGAGTGAATGGCGGTGAATGGGCCGCTCCCCTCCCCCGGCTCCGGCAGGCCTCTTTTTGCTCTCTCAGCCCCGGAAGGGAAGCGAAAGGAAACGGCTACCCACCCCGCCCGGGCAAGATCCGCCTCCATGACCCGCGGCAGACTACGCCGCTGCGCCCTCTCCTTCCGCCATGACTGACAGGCCCACGGCCGTCCAATCAAAGCCTGCACGCTCCTCAGCGCCCGTCTTGGCGGAGGGCGCCCGCCAGCCTCGCGGTTCTCGTGTGTGCGCTCTCGGTTGTTGCCATGGCAGCGGCTGCGGGGACCTGGGCCTTTGCCTTCCCTGCCGTGCGGCGGATGAAGCAGCTGCTGCTGCAGGGCGGCTTAGCAACGGACTGCCTCCAGGAGGCTATGGCAGGTGATGACAGTGCCTACTACCATTAATAATAATCATAGAAGTAAAGGACCTCCGTCGCTTTTATTAGGGACTTTAATCGAAGTCCCTCATAATATCTTGTGCTCCCTTCGTGGGGTGGCGTGGCGGGGAAACTTGCGTTTCACTCAGCCACCTCCGCGCATTTCAGTTGCCGCTTGGAAGGGGGACTTTCCATATCCAGAGAGTCTAGAGAATACCATTGCTGCATGCGCCTGTCTCAGTCGCCCCCTCTGTTCCTGTGGCATTATGACCATACGCAACTAAAAATTTAAAGGGTCATTCGTCATGAGATATTCAGTGAAAAAGCTTCCCAGCTCTTTTGACTTTTTAAAAGGCGCGAAGGTGAAAGGGACAGAGAGAAAGATCTAAACAGGAAGATGCGGGGGGGGGGGGGGGAGAAGGGATGGGCAGAGAGATGAAAAATGTATAGGTACAGCAAAAACGACAACTAAAAGTGAATCTCATGCTTTAGGTTGGAGTTAATTCTTCAGTAACGAGGATATATCCAATGATAGTCCAAATTAAGTTCCATTTCAATGGGTTTACTCTAACTATATACAGCTCCTATTCCCAAAAGATTTATGACTAGTACCCTAAGAAACTCATGCTTGGGAAAAGGTTCGTGCTCCACAGGTGGGTTTGAGGAGTCCCCAGCTTCAATAAAATCTGCTAAAAATGTTTTTGTGACCTCACTCTGACAGTAACTAATTTCTAGCTAACATCTGAGTAACAGAAGGAGCTACTAATATTATCCACATAGGTGGGTAGAATAAAGAAAGGGAGTTAAAGGTAACACTCCAAATCTAACAGCCAAGCAGGAAGAAGGATGCAATGGTGACAAGTGCTGTCTTTTCTGTGTGGATATTTTGTACTGTCCTGGTTCATACAGCATTATAGACACCTTGTAGATTAATTAATCCTCAGGGTGCTGTAGTGCATGCTGTCCATCATTACAAATACACAAGCCCAGGCCAGGGATGGTCATGATTTGTGATGTTATGCAAAGCCAGGTGGAGGGGGTTTTAATAGTTAATCAATCATTGCATAACTTACAGTCTGCTTTACAGTTATGCAAGAGATGTTTAACACTCAAATAAACCCCAACTTCACCTGACAGAAGGAGTCACAGCAATCACTGGCCAGAGCTTTCATATTCATAATGGTGCCCACACATGCTACAGCTCCTCATGAGCGAATTAATCCATGTATGGCTGTCATATCGTAAACTGGTCCATGGGATATACTTGGTCACTGGAAAACACAATGGTAGTATTAACACTGATATTTGTTTTGTGTTGTTAAAATGATGCATTTTATGTTTTCTAAATAAGTTTCTAATTGGTTGAGGAAATACTTATTTTGAAGACCAAATATTCTTTCCACTCAAAAACTAGTTCTGCATTATCAATAATATCAGCCCACTATGGAAAATCATTTTTCCTAATTAATATTGCAGTTACTTGACATATTAAAATGCATGTAGCTCAACCTACATAAATGCTTATTTCAGTTGCACATGATGCATTTGAAAAACAAGTTGTCATTGGCATGACTTACTGAACTTTTTAGTAAGGTTTTTTTGAATTTGTATATAGATATTGAGAATGATGAAGAGACAGGGAGCTTTGTAATAGGACGGGGAGGCTACCCAAACAAAGATGGTATAATCCAATGTGATGCAGCAATAATGGAAGGACAGCCTGGGCGCTTTGGAGCTGTAGCTGCTTTGCCTGGGTAAGTATTATATTATATTGTGTTGTGAATAAAGATGCCCAGATTTATTTATTTTTTTAAAGCCGAAGTACTAAATTGTTACAGCACTATCCTCTTACAGTTATCTATGCTTATGCAATGTAATATTAAATTCTTTTAACTAATGGGAACCTAAGGAATTAATACCTACAAGGACTTTAAAGTTTTAAGAGTACATTTAAATAAATGTACTCTGTTTTGTAATCTCCTTTTCACATGAATTTGGATATAATCCATAAATTGTCTTGTGATCTATCACTTTTTGACCTACACTTCCTATTCCTCTTATAGAAGAATTTGTATCTTACAAAGGAGAACCTTCCTTTCCACATGCACTAGCACAGAGTTAAGTAGCTGGAAGCTTGGGATACATTTGGGATTTGGAGAAATTGTCTTTGACACAAATATAAAATGACTACCCTGTGTGGGCATGACTAGTCATGAAGAAGAAAAAGCTGCTCAGAGGTATGCATGGGAAATTCAGATGGCAGCAGCTAGAAGTTCACACTTGACATTGAAGCAATCCCATTTTCAGTACAAAAATACAAAAACAAAAATTGGGAGGAGTGCAGTGTCTTGGTAGACACACCAAGGAAGGCATCTAGGGACATAGTAATGCCCAGAAACACTGTTGCCTACCTGTGCATGAGCATAGACCTCTTCAGTGAGGTTGAACTCTGCACAAAAGAATGTTTCTGAAAGCATTCAGTCCTTTCACCCCTTTCCGATTCTGGTGAGTTTACAGGCTCACCACCCACCATTCTGAAGAGTAATATGCATACCCCTCTATATAGAATATAGAATCTCTGTGTCACTCTGCTTACATAGTGTAGAAACAGTATCAATGTATAGATATTTTTCAGTCATATTTCTTGAAAGCAATTTTTCCTGAGAATCTATTGGCACCTTGTATTTAGCCTTTTGTATTTTTAACATTACATTTAGCCAAAGTGCTCAATTCTTTAAAGTATGCATACAATAAAAACATTTTAAATTGCTGAAAAAGGGTTGGAACTCCACTTGCTGTAGCACGTAAAGTTATGGAAGAGGCTCCACACAGTTTCCTGGTTGGGGATGGTGCTGTGGCATTTGCAGAAAACCAAGGCTTCATTGTGGAAGAGAACAATAGTATGATGAGTAAGCACAGTACTGAAGCTTATCAGGTAATGCTCTACTTTCATCCAATATTGATATTAATTGATTATGTGGTCATAAAAGAATCAAACTGGGAATAAATATTTTATGTATGTATAAATAGTCCTAACATTAAGAGAGTATCAAAGACGCTTTAGCTTCCTTGCAGTAAATACCATTCACTAGGATATAGTTCTCTTCCCCTGTCTTATTGGACTATGGTGAACTGGTGCTTCTAGGGTTCAATAAAGGATGTAGATAATTCCAAAAAGAAGCCTTAGAATGACTTCATGAATCATCATCAAGTTCTTGCCAAATTAAGAGGTTCTGTCATCATCCACTTGCATGCAACTCCCCTTTTGACTTCCCACAATCTACATCAAATGCTGACATCCCAATATCTGCATGAAATGTTGCAATATTAAGTTTCTAACCTATTATCGTATAAGTCTTGATGTTCCAAAATACATAAGGGGGGTGATGGTGGTTGTTTTTTCTGAGAGGAGGGTACAGGAACAACCAAAGCTGGATTTGGATTTTTAGTTTTCATAGTCCAGCCTAGCTACCTTTGTTTTTTAATTTATGTTTTAAAAATTATATTTATGTTATCAGCTCCCAGTTTTTTCCTAGGTTCATATACTGGAACTATTTTCAGGGTAAAAAGGTAAAGGTTTCCCCTTGACATTATGTCCAGTCATGCCTGAGTCTAGGGGGCGGTGCTCATCTCCGTTTCCTAGCCGAGGGAGCCAGTGTTTGTCCACAGACAGTCTCCATGGCCATGTGGCCAGCATGACTACACACCGAAGTGCACGAAACGCTGTTACCTGCCCACCAAAGTGGTACCTTTTTATCTACTTGCACTTCCATGCTTTCGAACTGCAAGGTTGGCAGGACCTGGAACTCACTCCATTGTACAGATTCGAACCGGCAACCTTTCCATCAACCAGCCCAGCAATACAGCAGTTTAAACCACTGCGCCACCTGCAGTCCCATATCTTCAGGGTAAGGAAGTCAAATCACAACTGAGTACATTTTCTAAAGTGCAAGACTCCAGTCCTGTGTCACTTACCTAGTAGTAAATCCCATTGAATTCAATATATGGGGTTGAATATTCTTAGGATTCCATATTTCCCCACTCACAGCTCTCTCTGTATTCCCAGGTGTTACCCTATCTCAATTTTCTGTACCATCGTAACTACCTTTCCCCACCCCACAGATATTTATAGTTATGTCCAGGACTGTCCCCAAGATGTTTTACTGCCTGAAGCAGAGCAGTAAATTGTACCTCCCCCTTCCAGTCTGTATGCGTAATAATACACAAAGCCAGTCAAACTGTACTAGCCTCTGAAGCAGAAAATCCTACAAGTACCTCTCCTGTTCACTGGCATTGAAAATGCAGTAGTAATAACTATTAAATAAACTGCTGCTTTTTATAATGCCCCAAATCAACCATCATGTAAAAGAAGTGTGAGTTTGTGTTTCTTTAGAGGCCCATGCCTCCTAAAGACACTTCTATTTTTTTGGACAGGGAACGCAGGGTGCTGAGTTTCAGAAAAAACATACATTAAAATTGAAGGGAGGTAGCATGAGATGAAGCATATGAGAGCAAAAAGCCAGCTAATCTAGAAGGATAATATACAATAATGATAATCAAGGCTCCTGTATTTTTAATTCAGCAAATGCCAGTTTTGTCCAGCTAAATGAAAAGCAACATCTTGCCAAATAACTTTCTATACAGTGGACTCCAGTCCATGAAAGCTTATAATGCCACAGGAAATCTCTTGAGTATTTAAGTTGCTACAAGGCACTATGGATTTTGAACACAAAAAGGCAGAAAGCCTCTATCCTGCTCCCATAACCATTTGCCTTTCTCTAACCTAGTGCCAACCCCTGATGCCAAGGAGGTCCATGCATCCATCAGAATCTTGCCACATGGATCACGCAAAATAGGTGCACTCCAAAAAAATTTATTGCAGAACCAAGGAATTCGACATAATCAGCCTGGGCAAGCCATTTACTCATACATGACCTTGCCCCAAATTCAGACATTGCTGCCTATTCAAGCTCTCTTTGTAAGCAAACCCACTTCCATTGCCCGCAAGCAAAGGGTCCTGTGCCTGCTTGGAAGAAGCAACAGATGAGGAAGGCCTCTGGAACTCCATCTGATATTTGAGCAGCCAGTGTGCCTGCTCTTCTTGTCTGTGCTTCACTGCCTATACTGACCCAAGGCACAAATGCAGTTGCCCATTAAGCAGTTAGCTAGGCTGGTCAGGGAGACTCCAAGAAAGTCAGGTGACAAAAGTATTAGGAAATTTTAGACTCTGGGCTTAAGAATTGTGAGCACACTGTGGAAGGAAAGGTGGCAGTTTAAAAGGACAGTACCTTTCCTGATACATTCCTTATTAGTCCTAAGGGAATTAGCCCTAAGATTTTTTAGTAACTGCAAGGCTACTGACTTCATTAAGGGAAATTGGGGCAGCTCTAATGATCTGAAGACCATGGCCACAGAGTGCCCCAAAGTACTAATGCATTATCTTAAAAATTGTATGAGGTTTGTTCCTGTGACTGAATAAAACTTTATTTTCATAACTGCACACTGATTTAGATTGTTTCAGTTATTTAGTACCTTGCTACAGATTTTCCTCGTTTATAGTGTTCTATAGTTTTATCAAACTGAATTTTAAGTATTATTTTATATTGATATGGCTTGTTTTTAGAAAGTTTGCTTCCGTCTCTTTTTACTGTGTTTTTACCATTTTAAATACAGCATTGGTTTTTATTTGCATTTTATTATTCTGTGCTGCTTTAGAGGGGTTCCTGCCTAGAAACAGTTTAAATAATAAATATTTAGGTAGAGGCAGAGAGTTTCTTACATAATCTCTCAAGTCTTTTGGCTTCAGATTTCATTCCCTGGCAACATTCTTGATCTGTTTAGAATGTGGGCTCTCTTCTTGGTTATGCAAGTTTGCACAGATGTAAATTCCACTTTTGAATTCAGGGAACCTTGTGATCCTACACCTGATTTGCAACTATTCTGAGTGTCCAAAACTACATGAATTAGTACTGTTGGTTTGGTTCACTCCTTTAAATGCCCTGGGTTTTATCTAGTTAGTCCTAGCTAGAGTAGACCCACTGAAGCAAATGGAATTTATTTTAGATTTAACATTGGCTATAGTCTACTGAGCAGTATCCAATGGGGATGTGCTACCTCCACTAGTTCCCCTGCACTTGCAGGAGCAGACTATAGCACAATGGAGCTTTTACACTTTTAAACATGACTCCACAAAACAGTAGCAATGCTCATTTCTGATTTTGGACAGGTTATTGCAAGTTTCATTGACTTGCCTGATTCCAGAAGCAAGTATTTCCTTTCGTTAGGCCTTGTTTTTAGTAGCGTGAAAGCCCTATTGTCACACCTAAGTGCCTTCTCCATTCCGACAGAGCCATCTGGTTCCATGTATACACCAGTTAAGGTGAAGTGAGAAGGAAGACAACTTGAGTGCAAGTAGAGGAAATCTCATGACCAGTTTGGCTGATCACGACTTAGAGCTCACTATCAAACTTATTCTGTGGTGATAAAGTTGACAAAACTACAATATTTTGCCACCCATATTGCTTCCTCACAGTGCTGGCCAGCTGAATTATTCCAAGTGGTCTCGGGTCTCTTGTTCACCAGATGAGATCCTTCATCACAAGCTGTGATGAATTTGCTGTCCACTTCAAGGAAAATGCGCTGTACTTTGAGCTGCCTTTAAAGGCAGTTCAGAGACTTTAACTGGTCCAAAATAGGGGTGTGCATGTGGTGTCAAGTATAAGTTTGTGAGCCCATATAACAGCCATTCTATATAAATTGCACTGGTTACCAGTTGGAGCCCAGACCTAATTTACAGAGCTTGTTTTATCATATAAAGTCCTAAATGGCTTGGGACCTAGTTACTTGAAGGACCACTTTTTCCATATATGAGATCAGTGCATGAGGTCCTTCTGAAAGAGCCACTCCTAAAGGAAGTGATAGGGATGGCAATTAGAAAAACCTTCTCAATGACTGCCTCCTCCCCTTCCCTGTGCTTTTGGAATGGGCTTCCCAGAGAGGTTTGCCAGGCACCATCCCTACTTTCATTTTGGCACCAGGCAAAAAGTGTCATTTTTCATAGGTATCTTGAGACCTTAATGGTTTTTTGCAAGATCTCATTTCATGACCAGCAGCTTTTTTCCTTCCTGTAACTAAGAACTGTAATATTGGTCTTGTATTTTATTATTGTTCACCTGTTTCCAGGTTATTCAATGGTCTATAAAAAAAAAAAAAAAAAGCAAGCATGCAGTCACACACAGGCACAATAGGATATTACTCATTAGATACACCAGTGTGTATTTGTTGTATTTGAAAGAGTCCTGGATTCAGTTTTAAGAAATTAGGAGTGTAGACTGGGTTCAGATACCATATAAAACTAGGTTATTTCTTTTAAGGGACACAGTATAATGGGTGGGAAGGGAGGAAGGAAGAATAAACTAACATGCCACCATTCCTGCTATCCAGAGTTAATCCTTCCTCATTCTGTCTAGCATCCAATTGCTTGGGAAGTTCTGCTACTTCTTGAAGTGGAGGAAAACCACTGCCCCCTGATCAGGAGTGACCTTTCACAGGCTCAGAGCTAAGAAATCACATACTACTTGGGAGTAACATCTGGTTATCTGAAGGAGCATCTCCTTCCCTATATACCAGCCCGCCCCTTAAGATCTGGGTCAGAGGTTCTTCTTCAGGAGCCCTCTTTGAAAGAGATTAGGAAAGTGGCTACCCAGAGAAGGGCATTCTCCGCAGTGGCACCCCAGCTGTGGAACATGCTCCCCAGAGAGGTGCGCCTGGCACCAACACTTTATTCTTTTCAGTGCCAGGCCCAAACTTTTTTATTTTCCCATTATTTTAAGATCTAATTTTTATTTTAGTCAGGTTTTTTATTACTGATGTGATGCTGTGCCTTTGTTGCTGGACCATCCCAAGACTTTTATGTATAGGACAGGATACCAAAGTTTTAAATAAATAAATAAACATCTCGTGCAGGACACAGTGTCACTGACACACATGCATATGCTTCTGTTATTAAATTTGTTATACCTAAGGAAAAGCTATTATTACAGATCAGTGGTATTGGATAATATAATTCATTCTAAACTGTCATTTTATAGGAATATCTGGAAAATGAAAGAATGTTGAAGAAACATGATACATTGGGTAAATAACCTTTTATCAAAATAACACTTTTGCAGGTCATTCTAAACACTTTTAATTATTGAGGTACTCCTGTGACATTTTATAATTGTATATTTCAGGATTTATGAAGATATTTTATCCTTATTCTTATCATCATTACATTCATAGCCTGTCTTTTTAATTCTCGTAAGGACTGTACATAGTTCTGCATTTCATTTTTTATGAGCGAGATATCCAAAGTTATCCAGTGAGCTTTCTGGTGAAGTGGGAACTAGAACCTTGATCACCTAGGTCCCTAGTCCAGCACTTGAACCATAATGCCACGTATTTCGCTGCCTAATATAACACTGAGTTATTCATTATGAATGCTGCTGCTAAGGTTTCAATCAGCATTCTGCATATAATGTTTGTAGTGCTCTTCAAAAGCTCCTTCATTTAACCACAAGAGGGTGCTATATCTTGGTAAAAGCCAAAAGAAAACTGAAGATGAGCACCTAAGAAAATGGTAACTAGAATAAGGTGTTGCATCTCAGCCTCAAACTGAAAACCTCACAGTAATTGCTCCTGCTCTGGTGATGAACAGTACATAAAATCCCATTACAAGAGGAAACATAGTTGCATTTTATCTTGTATTTTGAAGGAAATATCAAATAATCATTTTACCAGGAAGTTTTTGTTTATTGTACTTTTCCTGGGCTATGATGTAATGTAAAACTGTTGCTTGTATTAAGAATCCAGATGATCTTTTGAGATCCTTGCCTGGTTTTTCTTTCCCATCTCAATATTTGGATTCATAAGTTCACTTTCATATCAATGAAGCAGCAATAACTTCAGGCAGAGCAGAGCAGTGGTCCTAATTGGTTCATCAGTGGTCTTTAACACAAAGCACAGTTAGTACAATCTATGGTTTACAAACCAGCCTGAAACTGGTTTTATATATCCTGGCTTGCTGGCCACAATCAATATGTTCTGTTACCATTCATCCCTGACTATGACTGCAATCAGCAAATAAGCTTAGAGAAAGTACTTTTAAGCTTGCCTAGATCAAAACATCTCTTCAGTTATCCACATCACCTGGGTTGTGAATGGCATCTTCCTTTCTATTAACAAGAATGAAACACAAGAAAAGCCTGCCAAATTGAAATAACAGCCATCCTGTGTCAGGATCTGGGCAGCTTCAGAGTTCCTCCTGCTGGCCAAGCACCAGAATAACAGCCCTGGTAGTTGCAGGATTACTCCCAGACTCTGCTGTAGTTAGAGGGGGTGGGGGGCCTTCATGAATGCCACCTGGGAGTCTTGGGGGAAGAGCTATTCAAGGAGTAGCTCTTCTCTCCAGAAGCTGCCTCAGTACCACTGGCTTTCAGTGTGTTGAAGCTGTTTTGTTGGTGTGATGAATAATCTGCCTTGGTTTTGCTGAACATTAAAAGTTTGTTTTAAAGCCATTTGGCCTAAATTCTTAGAGTGGTTGGCACAAATTTTGGAAGGGCTAGTTTCTTCATGGCAAAAGCAAAATTTATGCTTTGATGTTATAGACCAGGGGTCAGCAACCTTTAACACTCAAAGATCCATTTGGACCCGTTTCCCACACAAAAGAAAACACCGGGAGCCGCAAAACCCTTTTGACATCTAAAATGAAGATAACACTGCATATATTGTTTTTTACCTTAATGCTATGTATATCTTCATTATGCAGCTCTTGTTCAGTCACTAAAAACTGTTATTTTTAATCTTACATTAGAAACTAGTAGGACTCCTTTCATATATTTTGAATAGGAGAACAGCTTCCTGAAGAGTCAAAGTTGTGCTAAAGGGCTGCATGCATTAAACAGCAAACCCCATAAGTTCAGCAGCAGTAAAAGCAAATGCATCTACCCACATATCATTAAACGTTTGGTTTTCTTCAGAAACTTTTCTTCAATTTATCCATGATTGGCCTACTGGGGGAAGTCACAGATACAGGTGTGTTTAGTGACTGATTAGCAGATAAACTGTCAAGTGCTGTGAATTGTGACAGTTCCCAAGAGCAGCTTTTATCATTCAGAGGAAGGAGATTACATTGGGACAAAGAGAATCTTTTCAGCAGGGTTTGAGTAACATGAGAGCATGCAGGAAGCTTGTTCCACTCTTTCCTTGCACAATAGCAGAGGAATGTAGCAATTTACTTAACCAGCTAGCGCGGTGTTCCTGAGTGGATGCCTCATCATCACCTATTGGTATTTTGTAACTCGGCAGACTGGTGGCTGTGCCGGCAGTGATGGAGCCGCAGCAGAGGGATTCAAGAGCCACATGCGGTTCTGGAGCCGCAGGTTGTTGACCCCTGTTCTAGACATTCCTTTGACCGTGAAAATATGGAACCTGAACAACCTGGTTATACAAGCTGTGCACTTTTCAGAACTATAAGGATTCCACAGTGTTTTTAAAATCAAGACTTTAGAGTAATTGGATTTTTATAGAATCTCCCCTAATTATCTAAGTTAGAAATAAAAGAGAAAAGGGAAGAAAATAAACTTCCAGCCTGATCTGTATGTTTAGAAGAAAGTCCGACTTAGTACAGTGGGATGTGCTCCCATGAGAACGTGATATTGCACCATTATTTACTTTCCGTTATTCACTTTCTAACCATTTACCTTGCCATTATGTGATTTTTCTCATCATCATTTTCAATTTCTGAGTCATTCTAAAACTAAAGCACAGGGTGACAAACAGAACAAAAACAAATACAATAAAACCAATGATAAAGCACAGTAAGTAAAAGAATTTGTTACAAGTTTTAAAAGTAGTATCAGCAATCCAAAGCAATCTGAAAAGAAGAAATTAATATTGAAGTAGCTAAAGTAGCTATAAGCAGTCCCTGGGTTATGAATGTCCAACTTATGAACAAACTGCCATAAAGCTTGTTACAGTAAAACTCCTGTAGCTGCTGTTTCTGTTACCACAGTTGACCATGGTCTGAAAAAAAAAAGTGCACTTGGCCCTCCATATTTGCAGAGGTGAGGGGCACAGGACCCCCATCAAAGTGGAAAAACTGTAAATATCTTTAGTCCACCCCACCAAATTCACCAGGACTTCCTCTTTGCTCCAAGGAAATGCCAGAGTGATTTCCCTCTCTGGATGGGTAGGGCAAGAAGGCATGGTTTGGAAGCCTTCCCTCTCTCCCCATTCACTTCCTCTCCATGGTTTTGATTATTTTCTACAGTAGGCTGCAAAACTCCTTCCTTCCCCATCCCATTGAATTATTGAGGGTAAACTTGACTTTCAAAGTTTAACTTCCACAGATTTGATTGTTCACAAATAATTCAAATCCAACTTTCCTTTCTGTTCTGCAAACAGAGTGAACAGATAGGGAAATAAAATGCATCTTTGTCTGATGCCTTTGGCTATAGGAAACTATTTTGTCTCTCCACATTCTTTCTTAACAGTAGCTTCGTCTCCATGATACAGGTTATTTTCAGGATGATCAAGTACTGAGGCACACCCATTCTTTTCAAGATCACACATACCTTCTCATGATTCACACAGTCAAAGGCTTTGCTATAGGCTATGGGTCCTCAAACTAGAGCCCACGGACCGAATCCGGTCCACCATGGCCATCTATCCAGCCCACGCCACCATTTGCCGCCCGTGCGCACGCTTGCTGCACAGGTGAGGAGGTGGTGGCTTGCTCACTCAGAGATGGTCTCCAAGCGAGCAAGCCCCCACTGCCTGCCTCCCGTATGCACGCACTTGCTGCTGCCTCACAGCACGGGTGGAGAGGTGGTAACTTGCTGTCTCAGAGATGGTTTTGGACTTGCTGGAAGATCTCTGAGCGAGTGAGCCACCACTGCATGCATGCGCCTGATGCTGCCTCACGTGCGCCCAACGGCTCCTCTCCGGCCTGCACCCCTAGGCACTCCCACTTCACCAGCCTGCGACGATCACCACAGCCTTTCAACTGGCCCCCTATTCAAAAGGTTTGAGGACCCCTGCTATAGGCTATAAAGCAGGGGTCTTAAACTCGCGGCCCGCGGGCCAGTTGCCGGGATGGGCGGGGCATGGGGGAGGGGCCCTGCGGCCTTCAAAGCTCCGGTGGTGCCCGGGCCGGCCACGGGATAAGCGGCCCACCACCACCGCTTGATGCGGCCCAGCCTCACCCAGACTACTTCCAGCGGCCCCCAGGTAAGTTGAGTTTGAGACCCCTGCTATAAAGGATAGACTGATTTTTTTTTTAATTTGTTAGTTCAGTAACCAACATATGCTTGCAATATGATTTGTAGTGCCTCTTCCTATTCAGAATCCAGCTAGAACATCAGACATTTCTCACTCCATGTAGAGTAAGATTCTTTGTGGCAGCACGTTGAGCGTCATTTGCTTAGATGGAAAGTTAGTGTGATAGTCCTATGGTTGCTGCACTCTTTTGCATCTTCTTTTTGGAGATTTGATTATATATTGAATGTTTCCAGTCTCTGAGACATTGTTTTTTCATCCATATTTGTTGGCATATTCTGTTAGAATTTGGACCAATTCACTCTGTTGCCAAGTATCTATGCCATATGCTTTGTTCCTTCCAAGTCCTTTCAGAGGTGCTTTCCCTTCCCTTTCTAACATGGGTTAATAGGATTCCTCTTTGAAGGCTTCTGCCATCCTTTCCTCTCTTCTGTATAGTTCTTCTGTATATTCTACCTTCTCTTTATTTTCTCCTGAAAAATAAAAATAAATAAAATTTCCCCATTTAACATTCCTAATCCATGTTTGAATTTCCCTTTGAGGTCTTGGATCTTCTGGAAGAGGTCTCCTGTTGCTCTCTTCTATTCTTTGCACTGATCATTGTAATATTTCTTTTTGTCTCTATGTGTTAGTCACTGAAAAGTTACAGTCAGGATTTTGACCCTATTCCTGTCACTTTTTGCTTTTCCTTCTTGCCTGACCTTAGCAACTGTGTGTTTCTTCTGTCATCCATCTATGTCTTTTCTTTCTTCTTTGCTACAAGAACTATCTTTTGTCTTTCCTCCCTAATTAGGTCTCAGGTTTCAGTCCACAGTTCTTCTGGCTCATGGTCCATTAAGTTGAATGATGCAAATCTGCTCTTTATGTGGACTATAGATTCCTCAGGGATGTTATTAAAGTTGTAGTTTGACACTATGCTTCTGTTAGTGATCTTTTTTAGCTTGACCCTGATTTGTGATATTAAAAGTTCAAGGTCACTACTGCAATCTGCTCCTGGTCCTATTTTGGCAGGAAGGATACAGTTTCTCCTTCTTTTGCTTCCAATGAGATAGCCTATTTGATTTTTGTAATCGTCTAGTCAGTTGCTTGAAGTATGCATTTGCAATAAACAGACTGTTGACTTCACCAAATTCTGTGAGTCATTCTTGTATTTCATTTCTTACCCCAGACCAAATTGTCATAGAACATTTGATTCTGCTTTGTTTCTTGCTTTTGCATTTCAATTACCTATGATTATCAACATGTCTTGTTTTGCTGTGTTACCAGTTTTCTCTTGAACACCTGCATAAAAGTTTTCAATACTGTCTTCAGCATATGTTGTTGGAGTGTTGACTTGAATGATGGTTGTGTTGATTGATTTTCTGCAGATTCTGTAAGTCTTCAGTCAAATTTTGCATTATAGCCTCTTACTTTCTTGCCTCAATATCAAATCCAGTCAATTTCTTCTGTGTGTTGAAGTATTGCTTTCAATTATTGCTACTGCCCAGTAGCGGCCCCTCAGAGGTTTTCCCATCCCCATCACCATTAGGAATATCCATTCTCTTCTGTTGATGGGACCATTACTCCTCAAGAGGATGGATGCATCTTAGTCTGGTTTTATTTATTTATTCAGCTTTTCTATACTGTCCTCTCTACTGAGACATCCTGGCCGCCTAATAGCATTGCTCTCAGCTTCCCTGATGTATCTCAAACACCTTTGCCACATTAAGGTGTGCATCCAAGAGACGGTTTGATCACATATTTATGTATTTAGTTTTTACATTCAGAGTTACTTTAAAAAAGCCATCAAGGTATATACTCGTAAAATGGTAAAATTTTAGACTACACTTTTTAAAAGGGTAAATTGAAAAGCTGAACAGAGTGTGGACCAGCTGTAGTTCTTGGGGGAATGCATTCCATAGACTGGGAGCAATACTGAAGGGCCTGATGGGCCTTTTCTGGTAAAAGTGCCGTCAGAGTGCCTGCTCCTGCAGTTCTTAAAACGTCAGAGTGCCTGCTCCTGCAGTTCTTAAAACTCATACAGATTTCATAGCAAGATAGGTATTTCCTTAAATGGCCGGGTCGTAAGCTACCAGGGCTGTAAAAGGTAAAATGAACACCTTGAATTATAGCTGGAAAGCAATTAGCAACTAGTTTTGCTAGTTAAGCAATGCTGGTCTTTCAGTAAAATTGCAATATGGCTTCATACTGTGCACCAGTGTAATAGTCCAGCTTCCTCATTTTGCACTATTGAAAATTCTGGGTAGTCCCCAGTAGAGCACACTACAACAGTGCGAACATGATATAAATATAACATGGATAGTACTCAAGTTGGACTGATTCAGAAAGAGTCACAACTGCACAGCAAGGATAACTGTCTAAACACTTTGCTTGCCACTGTCCATGACCTGAAGATCCAGAGACAGTAGGAGCAAGGAATTACTAGAGTTCTCTAATTCAGCTAGTATGCAAAGTCTCCATTGTGGATGTAGCATCACCAACTCTCATGAATTCTGAAAAACAATTTCATACTTCTTGAGAAAACCTGTTTACAAAAGTATCAAATTGCTTTACTAGGATTACTAAACTTTAAATGGTTATATTTTCACTTAGATTACCTAGGATTATTTTTAAACTGTATTCTAGCTAAACCTAGAATATTCACAAACTCTTAATTTCTTTTACGGTATGCTTAGGGAGGAAGTACTTGATCATAGTGTTGTATTAGTCTATTGATCACTGACCTTCTGGTTTCCAATTAAATGCTTTAGGAGAATACAGTTAATAAGCAAGTGAGGGAGTGCTATCAAATAGCGAGATTTGGCTCCAGGAACTTCATATTGATTTTATTAGTATTGTAAGCATCTGCCTACATATCAGATATACTTGCTCTTACAAAATTTAATCTACTGGAATTGTCCATAATTGAGAAGACAATTCTTGATAACTGTTTAGTATTCCAGTTTTATGAGGCAATATATTGACTATTTGTGTTACCATCAGCTAGGAAATAATGAAACAAATAATATATATTTGGGCCACTAAGAGAAGTTTTAACCTAACCATGTAACCATCTTGTTAATTACAGTTAAAGGCTAGATCAACCTTTCCCAAACTTGTGCCTTCTCAATGGGAGACAACAACTCCTATCAACCTCAGCCAAAATGCATGTACAGGAATAAAACAGGTTAGATCTAATGTTATGAGAGGCTTCTGTTCATTCAGTAGGACTACCCCTTGCTTTTCTGTGCATCCTCTGTGGATCTCCAAATTTGCTCCAGGGGTCACCTGACGGAACAGATTTGGGAGGCATACAGGGGGCTTTAAAGGAGAGATGGGATCTATACTGCCAGTGCTTTCTATTCCACTGATAGGTGGCCAGGACTGAATACAGCCAAATTTAGGTTTGTAATGTGTTTCCCTTCTTTTTAAATTTCTTTAACTGTACAATCCTATATCCATTCACCAGGGGTAAGCATCACTGAACTTAGTGGGACTTCTATAGGATTACAATTTAATAGATAAAATGTCCAACTTCTGTAAATACTGGGCTATTTGCATATTTCTTGTTATGAAGGGGCCGTTTGCACAAAAGAGCAGTCCACCATGAGTTATTTAACCTACCGTGAGACTGGGGTGTATGTGGAATATGCAACTCCAAGGCTGAGTTAAATGAGCCTCACATAACCCATGGTCTGTTTTAGGTTTAAATGAGAATTGTTGCACACTTGCATAATTCATTCTCACCAGGTTCTATGGCACAACCATTCCTGAGTAGGGGTTGCTTGTACAACTCAGCATCTTTCAGTTAAATAACCCACAGCAAGCCATGACATGTTGTCTGAACCATATCAATCATTTGTAAGACAAGTTTGGCCACAAACATGCAAAAGCAAACAAAAAATAGCACACAGAGAGAGCTTCATCACACAAAATCTTGTTATGTTCGCAAAATGGATAAAAGACATACACTGCTTGGTTTTGATAATTCTGCTGGTTTTCAAATAAGATCAAGAACATCCTCAAGGTTTATACTCTTTCTTTACTACTATGTGTTAGGCAGAAGACAAAATACAGTAGATTTGTGGTGATCTGAGCTATCTGAATGTTACACTAATTCCCAAGAAACTTCCACAATGTGTTACTGGGTAAAATGCAACATTATTCCAGCAGTAGTCCTTGTACAAAATGACTTTATTTTTTGCTCACTGCAACTCTCTGTCCCCCCCTTAAAAAGTGCCGCCAACCTTTTACAATGATTTTGAGGGTTTATGGGAGATTACAGAGGAAGCAGGAAACCTTTCCCAATTTAGTGATGGAAGCAGTTTTGTCAGTGGAGACCCTACCTGGAAGTCACCCACTGTTGTTTTTTAATAGGGATATTTGTCTTCATGTTATTTCAGATGCTAACAGATAATTTATTTGGGCCAATATTTCTAGTGTTGCTCAATAACCAAACCCACTTGCTTTTGTCTTTTTACTAGGTTTGATTGCCTTGGATATCTATGGAAACATAACTGTTGGTAAGAGGGAGCAGCATAGACTAGAAAAACATTCAGTTTCTTGCCTACCTTAGGTTATATACAATTGCTGCTGACTGGTTCTATGGATGTTCGCATCATCTGAACTAGTGGAATGAAGATTTTTTAAATTAATTTTTCTATGCATTTTTAAAGTTTGCAAACCAGCTTTCATCCCACAGTAGCATATAAACTTTTATCAAAACAAAGGAACAAAAATAAAATGTAATACCACCCCAAAATAACCATAAAATGGTTCAGCTAGTGAAAAAGCTAACAAATCAAAAATTAAATGCAAAAAGAAATATTTGTATTTGGCAGTGAGAAGAAAGCAATGCTAGTGCCATTTGTTTCACCCTTGGAAGCTAATATACTTGCTTTTTGGAGAGGAGAGAGAAATGGAATCTGGCATGACAAAGCAGGCATCTGGGTTAGTATTTACATTAGAGTTACAAGCACCTTAAAAAGTAGATGGTGATTAATTGCTAGCAGTGAGTAACATCCACAATTGGTGAATAGAGTAGAACTAATTAACTGAAAAGCTGAGTCATTCATTTTTTGAAAAGGAGGAAAATGAAGTTCAGGAAATAGGTTGTTGGATGTGGGAGGGTGTTAACTAACATTGTTCAGTTAGATCACCATTTCTCCTGATCTCATGCAACCATTTGTTCCATTGCAAATAGAGACTAGCAGATCAGAATAACTGCTAACATTTTGTTGGTTAAAAATAATTTAGGTGTTTCTACCTCTGGAGCACCTTTTAAATATCCAGGAAGAGTGGGAGATTCTCCATTGCCAGGATGTGGCTTGTATGCTGATAAACAGGTATGCCAGAATGTCCAATGACCTGTATAATTTAAAAAGACAGCAGAAATTAACATGATTTTAAAAATAAGCAAATGTGTACTTGATAGCAGACAGGTATCCTAGATTTCATACTTTATAAAAATCAGGCATGGGTCAATTAATGGACAGCCTAATCTATAGCACAGGTAATTCTGACATACTTTTGACCTCAGGAAATAAATATAAATCACACACACTCTGCCTAAATACGTAATACTATAATACTTTTATTAGGCCTCTGTGTAAAGTTTTCTAAGTCAATGCACATTTAAACATTAATCTTACATGAAACTATAAAATGCAAATCCAGTAAAATATGGCAAAAAACAGCTAAAACCTCTTAGAAGTAGTAGTAGTAGCCAATAATAATACTTCCAAAATAGGAATTTGAGCAGAAACAGACCTTCTGCACTACTTCCAGCAGTAGTCACCACTTTCATGTTGGAAGCTTGCATTTATTTATTTATTTATTTATTTATTTATTTATTTATTTATAGCATTTGTATGCCACCCAATTGTGCCACAGCACCTCTGCGTAGCTCACAATCACATTTAGGCAATAAAAACCAATTATAATAACATAGAATATCAATAAAATACAGGCAGAAATACAAAACAAAGGTCAAATGCAATTAATTAATAAAATATGTTTTAAAAAGGAAGATCTTCACCTGGCACCAAACAGAATGTAAAGAAGGTGCCAAGCAAATCTCCTTGGGGTGAATCTCCTTTCTTGTCATGGAATCTGCATATGAGTTCCTTTCTGCAAATGTTTCTATGTTTCTGCAAATGTTGAGTGGAATGAATGTACCTTTCTGCACATGGATCAATGTTTCATTTTCATGTACATTGGATCCTGTAGTATGAGTTACTCAATTCCACCACATTGCAGATGTGAAACATCCCTGAATATAATAAAGAATAGATTTCAGAGCATAAACATAGTTCCCTGAAAGGATAATTCTATAAAATGACTGCACATCTTCAGGGCCATTCTTTTGTTATATATAGTAAATTGAGGATAGAAATATTGAGAAGAAAGAATATTTGAAATCCATAAGAAAAATTTGTATAAATACATGGATATACAGAAACAAGAAAAGGATGAAGTATATCCCATGTGGGAAAGGTAGCAACTTTGTTACTTTAGAATTGTAACATTGTCCTTGAAAAGGCTACTATTAATTTATGCCATATGTGTGTTCTTCTTCACCTTATTTACAATTTTAGTTTCTTCTCTCTAAGATGGTAGAAAATGAAATGTTTTGAAACAGCAAGATGGCCAGTGCAATCTAGTGAGGCTGATTTTAGCCTTGAAGTGTCTTGCCCCAGGCTACAAGTAGAGGATGCTGAGGTCCTGCCAGGCTACTTTGTATGTTGGCAGAGCCTGTCGCCTCCCCTCCTCAATGTCCAAAACTTATCTCCAAGATTTTTCTTATCACCTTGAAGTTACAGCCAACATGTTTCTTTTTCATACCAGCCGTGAAAGTGGAGGGAGGGCTGTCCAAATTTGAAATATCAGCTCCCACCTTGGAGTCAGTTTCCAAGGCCAGAGTGCAGGGACTTAGAATGATCCTGTAGCTTTCTAAGACTATGGCAGTCATAGGATTGCAACCTTAATTAGTTAATAAAAATTATGAGGACTTTTATCCACAAGTCAAATTTCTATTTTTTTTCTTTGCTGTAAGAATAAGACAGATAATTTACTATTCTCAAACATTTCCTTCCTTCCTTCCTTCCTTCCTTCCTTCCTTCCTTCCTTCCTTCCTTCCTTTCTTTCTAGGTAGGGGCTGCAGCAGGTATGTATTAGAAATCATAATCAAAAGACTTGTATATCTTTGAGTGTGCTTTTAAATACATTGATACATATACAGACACTAGACAATTGTAATGAGCTCTACACAGGATTGCCTGTAAAGATGGATTAGAAACCTCAGCCTGCACCAGTGCTTGAGCATGATGATGAGGATGAATAAACTTGATTACTCCAGAAGTGATGAAGGTATTGTTGGTTGCCACTCATTCACTTTTGTTAAAGGTGGTCAGCCTGCTCTGAATGGAGTCACACTCCCCTTAAAAAGATCAGGTTTGCAGTCAATCCAACATTTCTTTAGAGGCTCAAGTACGATTTTCATTAGCTTCAGAGCATCTTCATTAGCATCAGTCAATATGCTAGCTGTGACCTTACTTTGGCCACAACTACCCGCACTCTTGTTAGGCCACTACAATGTATTAAATGTGGGGCTACCTTTAAATTACAAACTGGGACTGGCCGTCTGACCATATTTCACCTATGATTTGTCAACTGCACTTGCTCCCAGTCTTTCCAGGTCTAAGTGCTAGTTGTGAACTTTTAACCAGGGTGCACAGATTGCAAGCAGACTCACAAGCCCTTTGGTGTGCCTCCGCAAGACCCTAACCAAGAAAACAACCACCACCAAAAAGCTCGAAGGGGTACAGTATTAATGGCAGTAAAGCAAGATGACCCTAAAACTTAAAGGCTTTAAAGCAAAGATGTAGGACCTGTTTATACCAAGTGTAGTCCTTGGGTGCAAAAAGATGTAGGATCTGTTTGTCCTAGCCCTAACACTACATCTTTGCTTTAAAGTCTTAAATGGCTTAGGATCAAGTTATCTGAAAGACCATCTTCTCCCAGTTTATTATGTTGCATTTATATTCCATCATTCTTCCTCTTGTGGGGAACCCAAAGAAGATTACAGGATTCTCTTCCACTCTGTTTTTATCCTCACAACAACAACTCTGTGAGGCAGGTTAGGCTGAGAGTGACTGGCTTAAAGCCACCCAGTGAACTTCATGGCCAAGTGGGGACTAGAGCCCAGATCTCCCAGGTCCCCATTCCAACACTGTAACCTCCATTGCACAATGGCTGTCCTTCTTGAACCTTAAGATCGTCTTTAAAAGGAAGGATGGATCTGCAGGATGTGATTACAGTTGTAACTGCTGTGCACTTAAAGTCAGTCAAGAGAAACTGAAATGTTGAAAAAAAATTAATTGCAGCAATAGATTGAAAAGGATGGGAATATACATCACCCGTACCTGCTTCCTAGAAAAGGGAGAGACCTTGAAATACTTAGACTTAATCATCTCCCTGCCTAAATATTGTAGTATGTAGATAAAATTTAACCTCTTGGATGATTGAAATTAAAGAGAAGAGCATTGCAGCCTTATTCTCTGTTTTCATCAATAAACACTTTAGCAACTGGCTTTTTCTTTCTCTGATGTTTGAAATAAACTTTTACCCAAAGAGCTTTAGGTTCTTTTGGTACAGTCCAAATCTGAAAGAAGTGTTCTGTTCATTTTAAAAGAAGAGAACGTAAGAACCTGCTAAAACCATACCTACTGAAAGCAGTGAGACGTAACCTAACCTTTCACTGTAGTAAATCCTTTATCAGTATCATTTAATTAAACTAAAGATATTTATTTATTTGTTTATTTATTTATTTATTTAGAACATTTCTATGCCGCCCCATTGCAACAAAGCCTCGGTGCAGCTCACAAAAAATACAAAAAAATACATAAACAATAACAATATAACAATTTATAAGAAAAAAAATATGGTCCTACATCCTCCACCCTCAATCACTGTCAACCTCTAAATACCAAGGGTTATGTGTACCCAGTGTAGGGCACAGGGGAGGCAATCTTCACTGCCCTCAAGTTGTGCCTTGCATTTGAAGCAATATGGAGGGGGAAGGAAGGCCAGTGTGCCATTTAGATGCTGTGCTAGTCATTAACCTCAGCTGCTTCTTTTCCCCACTTCCCCAGCGCACTCCTTTAGCCTTCTCTTAGGTCAATTTCTTTATTTTACAAACATATAAAATATAAAACTTCTTTATTTTACAATAAAATAAAGAATCTCCCCTCTCCCTCTCCTAATACTCCATGTGTACATGTTTAGTTCCAGCAAAGATAAGTAACCATAAAGTCCATGTATTGAGTTTTGGATAGCTGTGATTGTTGAGCATTGTTTGCTGTTCTTAACAAGTTAATCCAATTTAAGCCATGAGTTGCTGGTGGTTTGCTTGTTGTACTGTCTGTTCTAATGTACTGAATAAACAGCTACTAGGTGGTATAAAAATGAAATAAATATGCCATGCTTCCTCGACATCATCTCTGACTTTCATGTTTTTCAAAGTTTTAAATTGCTTTGATAATTTTTCGATAAGGGCAGTGTCCTATATCCTTTCCAACCAAGTTTCCAGTGTCAAATTAACAGTTATTTTCCAATGATGTGCTAGAACCTACATGGCTACAGTAATAAAGAATACTGGTAGATCTTGAAACAGAAGATATTTTAAGTCATGAACAAATTTAATAATGCTAGTCTGGGATCACAGCATACTGTTTGACCTGTGATAACACATATTTCATTTGTAATTAGTTCCCAAAAGGAGTGAACCTTCTCACAGTTTTACCACATATGGAAATAGAATTTGCTGGCATCCTTTCCAGCTGAGTAGACTACATTGAGAAGTCTGTGGCATTTAGAGGTGTATAGTGCCACCTATGTACTGTTTTATGCTGTTTTATTGTATTTTTTCCAATACCAGTTGCAGTGACTGCTTTCCCCATAGTTTTTGCCAATCTGAAATTTCTATGTTGCTGTTTCCCATACTGATTTTAAAGAGTTCACCAGTTAGTGAGTCAGATAAAATCTTATAAATGCTTAACAGTAGTTAACATGTGGCAATATGTTACATTTAAAATTAACTGTTCAGTGGGTTTAGGGATCTGGTGGCATGAGATAAAACTGTGGAATTAGAAGTAAAATGACTTGCCTGGCAGCCAACTTCAGCATTTCCCAGTTTGTTTCATTTGTGTTCCTGTAAAGGGTTTCCTGTAAAGATCTCTAAGCATGTAGAGTTCTTTCTGTTTCCAATCTTCAAATTGTCGTTTCTTAGTTTTGTTGTTAAAACAGAGGATGATGTCAAAAAGGAACAAGAAATAGGATAGCTGGTGCCAATCTTTTATTCTAGAGATCCCAGATATGAGGACTTTGAGGGCAAAGCATCCAGGATATTTTTGGCTAACAACTGATTAATAAGTCAGGAACAGTAGTGCCATTACTTCATTATGACATTAACTATTTCATTCTTCTTTATTGGTAATAAACTATTATGTATAAGTGCTGCATCATAATATCACATCAGATTTGGTATTCCAAGCTCTCCCAGGGACATTGGTTTGTAAAGAATATTGTTCTTGAGATTCACTGTTTTATTTTTTAAATATGAAGTTACTGAGCATGTTCTGCCAGTTTTTAAATAATTTTGAATCAATGCTTATTAGGAGGATTCAGAATAGAAAATTCAGATTCTAACCAACCAGGGTAACACTTGGTTATTAATTCTTATTCTTATTCCATCACTTAATATAAAATCTAATAGATTTTATTAAAGGATCAAAATTCATTTTCTTTAGCTATTTCCATTTTTTGTGATAGTAACCCTAAGATATGCATGTGTTTAAGGCACAACTTAATTTTAGATTGTTGATATAATCAGTGTTAACTATCATCATTTCTGACTTTTCATAATTGATTTCTATCCCTGACATTATATTTGATAAATTATTTAATAACTGGTGAAGAAGTTTTAAGGTTCTAAAGCATTAATTTATTTCATTTTTATTCTACCCAATAGCTGTAGCTTTCTGGGTAGTTAACAAATGTTTTAAAAAATTAAAACACAAACTCGCATACAAAATAAAAATTAACTTAAAACAACAAAACCACAAAAGCAGTTGCAGTTGAATCACCATAGCTGCAATAGAGAGTAAAACACAATATTAAAATATGTCGTTAAACTGTTAAAAGGCTGGGAAAATAAGAAAAGGTCTTCACCCAGTGCTAAAAAGAATGCAAAGTAGGTGCCAGGCCACCTCTTTCAAAGGGGGTCCTAGAGAAAGTCCTCTGAAGATGACCTCAGGGTTTGGACAGGGACATATGGTACAAAGTGCTCCTTCAGATACTCTGGTGGCTCCAAGTCATTTAGGGCTTTGAACGTTAGTGCTAGTACTTTGGATCAGGACCAGACTTCAATTGGCAGCCAGTGCAGCTGGAAGAAAACTGGTACAGTATGTTATTGTGAGTCAGTCCCCATTAACAGTCTTGCTGTTCTGTTTTGGATCTTTTAAAGTTTTTGGAGTGTTTTCAAAGGCAACCCCATATACAACACATTGCAGTAATCCAAACAAGAGGCCAGCAGACCTCACTCCTTGTATTAAAACATTTGTTAGCCAAGGTGTTCCATGGAGAGAGTAAAAAGAAGGGGCAAAAGCGAGCAGCCTTGTAATGTGTTCTTCTCTGCACTGAACTTCAGTGTATCTCATCCATTCAACTGACCACAGCTTGGCTATTTACATATGAATTTCTTTGGAAATAACATTTTCTTCAGTAAGGCGTACAAGAAATCCCAACTCAATTTGTTGAATGCCTTACTATAGTCTTATGAGACTACAGAAATTGCTTTTTTTTAGCATGCTAAATTATGCTCATCAGTCCTCTGATTGGTTCAGCTGTGTCTACCTCTTAAAAAGTCCACTTGTCTTTCTAGGTATTAATAGTACCAATCTACTGGCAAGGATTTTACCAATAAAAAGTTTATATCTGGGTTTATGAGGGTAGTGGACCTATCTGAGTTCACCAAGGTTCGATCTTTTCCAGGATTTGGGAGAACGACTAGATGGAGTTCCTTTCAAGTGTTACGGATTAGACGTCCTACCACTGTAGTGTAAAGCTATACATCCCTGGAGCCTTCCATGTTTTAGCTTTTTTGAGTCTCTTTTTCTTCATTAGATATTGGTTCTATTAAATATTGTTTTTGTATCCTGTCAAGAGTACTTAATTTTGCTTCACTCATGTTAAGTGTTTTAGCTTTATAGACATCTGAAAAAGCTTGAAATTCCCCCATCTTTTCTGTATTATATAATTGCTCCCCATTGTACCCTAGCAAACAATTCTGTTCCATGTGATTTTCTTTTTAAGTTTAAAGGCAGAATTTTTCAGTTTTTATTGACATGCTAATAGTATTTTTAATTGTGAATTGCATTACATTTTCAAGTTTCACAAAGTCTAAAATTTCCAATTCTATACTTTTTTGTAATAGTTTCCTATATATTGTTTTACTAGTTTCTTTGTGAGTCTTTCCATATTTTTTAAAAATAAAGTAATTTTGGATGCCTCTCTTATCTTTTAAGAGGAATATATTAATTTAACAAATGGCCTGATATCACAACTTTGATTGAGTCCCATATGAAGATTGCAGGAAGGTTCCCAGTGTCATCGATCAGGAAATAATTACGTTCTTCCTTCCACGTCTATAAACTTATTTTTAAATGGTTTTCTTCAGTAATATTGTTTAAATGCTGGGTATCTCTTGCAACAATGGTTTATTAATCTTAAGGTATTTGATCTTGTAAGGGGATATGATTAGCTGCTAAAAAATTAAACAGAGCTGACCTGACCTAGTTACGGCCTCCACATGAGGTGCCAGCCCACATGGATTAATTAAACCACAGTGAACTGTGACATCATGTGAACAGGGTCAATGTGTGTTATAAGAAATCTGATATGTATAGGTACAGATATGAATTGTTGCAATCCTATTTAGTTCAAGGTAGAAGTTAGGAAACTACAGTTTTCATAGAAAATAGTTTTCTTAGAAAACTACAGTTTTCATAATATTTTTTTCCTTTTATCAGCTACCGGTGATGGAGACATGATTATGTGCTTCTGTCCTTGTTTTCATGTAATCCTCCTAATGAAAGAGGTATGTTCCGAATTTGTCCTTAAGCTTACCAGGTTGACGCAAGTGTAAAAATTCAAGGTAACTCCATAATGGCAGTTAAGAATGTCATTGGACTGATGGCTTTTAAGGTATCAATGAAGTTAGGGATAGACCTTCAGCTCCCATCACCCCTCACCAGCATAACCAGTGGTGAGGTATGATTGGGATTGCAGGATATCTGGTAAGCAGAAACTGAAAACATTAGTCAGAGTTAATCCGGGTGAAGAGGAGGAGGAGAGGGAACTTAAGAGGGACCAATCCTAGTTCCAACTCCTTATGCTGGAGTGATACTCTTGCCTACTGGTTGAGGCTTGCCAGCACTGTTGAAACTTTTGTTGCAGGCCCCTTGGAACATGAAAGGGAGCGTCTCCTAGGAATCTAAAAAATGTCTTGCATCGTATGGCATTTGCTTTATCATGGATCTTTATGAAACCCCTTCCTGAAAGCTATCAGAGTAGGTAGACATGGCCATGTTAATAGGGTTCGTGGTTGCACAATTGTTTGCAATAATGGTTTACAGTAGAATTCTTACGATAAGGATTTGTAAAACCTGCTGACTGCAACAAGTGAATAAAATTGACATAATGAAATTGCCCAGGTGGCATTTCCTTCAGGGCTGAACCCTCACGCTGTCCTCTGATGCATGAATAATCCCAATTATACCTGGCTGTACTGTATGCTTTCATGTATATCTAGATACAATAAAGGACAAAGTGCATCCACTTTTACACTTCAACCTGTTATCAATTTAATCATTAAGAAGGGAGGAATTAGAAGTTGCTTAGAAACCTGGTGTTGGATCCAGTTAGCTAAAACACGCTCATTGAAACCAATGGAATTAACTGTAGTCATGAATAAGTTAAGTACCATTTATTTCACTTGGTCTACACAAAGTATGTCTAAGTCTATATTCAACCTATGGAATATAAATGAGTGATTAAAGCAAGTTGTTTTGGATTTTTTGTTTCTTTTTTAGGGCATGTCTCCTATGGATGCATGCCAGACTGTTGTCCAGGATATCCTCCAGCGAACAGGAAAGGAAAATATGTTTGAACTTGGAATCATTGCCATGAATATGAAGGTACTTGCACAAACAAGCATATTCTCATGTTTTCCTGGGTGATCAGGCCTATGATAAATAATGTTCCAATTTGTCTTCCTTCAATTAACATTCCTTCTAAATATGTGGTAATTTAGCAAGCAATTTTTTTGCATTTGATTAAGACTACAAAAAGCTGTTATTCATTTTCTGTCTCACCTTTCCAGTAAAATTAATGTTCAGGTTGGGTAACAATAATAAAACACAGATACAATATTGCACTTTAACTGTTGCAGTTGTTTTAATTATTGATCAGTTAAACATAAATACAAAAAAGGAAGCACCAGTTAAAAAGCAAGTTTAATAAGCAGGAGAGCTGGATAATCAAAAACCTGGCTGAATAAAAATATCCTTGTTGCTAGTAGAAGAACAATAAAGATAAGAGTCAGCCTTACTTCGCTTGGCAGAGAACTCCAGGGCCTAGGAGTTTCCATAATGTATTGTATTTGTTCATTCAAAATATTTTAATGCAACTCTCTCCCAAAGCTGCTTACAAAAGGTATTCCTAATTATTCCTCTCTCTTTTTTTTTTTTACTCCTCAATTTCTGATGTTAGGGAGAAGTTGGAGCTGCTTCGTCAATGTCATTCCCATATTGCATCTGGTCTCAGGGAAAGGATGTGGTAGAACAATTGGTGCATGAAGCCTAACAACTTTGCACAAATCAAGGGAAAATCATTTATCTCACTCACCATTCAGATTCAGAACCATTTCTATTCTATTTTAGTCCTTAATTTTCTAACTCTACTTTCATTTCCCTGTTAACATATGTAAAGTATATTCAGAGATGACTCTTCCAAGAGGTCGTCATTCAGGCACACAAAGTAAGAGATTCAGCCTTTGCTCAAGCAATGTGTCTGTGAGGACCAAACAAGAGAATAAATGAAAATGTGTAATCACCACCCATCTTTTTTTTATGGCAGCTGTGTTGGGAGGGTGCAGTGTGTGCACATTCCCTTCTGTGTGTGAGCCTGATGAACCCTCCACCCAGCCACCAGCTCCAACAAGAAAGCTGCCATTTGCACCAAGGGCAATTTCCCTCCCAGGACAAATAACAGACTCCGTATTGATGGGGCCACTAGAAACTGATCATGATAGATTTACGTTATGCAAGGAAGAAGTGTTTGTGTGAGAGAGGATAAGTCTATAAACATATTCAGGAGGTTTTACTTCTTTTACTTGCAAATTACGGCTATACTCTATATCCCTAATAAGGATTTCTGTTACAAAAGAAAACATATTACTATTAAATATTAATTTGCAAGTGCATTAAAACATCCACAGACCTTAGTTTTCCAGTTTATTAAAAAAAACTTTCAAGGAGGAATGAAAGCTAGCATTTGATAAAACTGATAGACTGCACACTTTAACCAAGAAGCCCTGTTGCTCTGCAATTTTTATTATCAGTCTCATATATCTTCACTGTAATATCTGTTTTTTCCTGGACATTTAACTAAGCCAAGGTATTTAAACATCAAGAATGCCCCACTCCTCACCCTTACCCAAGACTTGGAAATGTCTTTTTAATTTCTTTAATGTCTGTTCAATCCCAAATTGAGGGATTCAAGGTAAATTCTTAATTGACAAATGCAGAGCTCTGAGGGAAAACATTTGATTCATGAAGCAGTACAGTCACTGGAAAACACAAAATTATCTACACTTCTGAGTCCCATCCACTGCATTTTCACTGGATTGCCATTTTTGGCCATCTAGCAACACCTCAAACTAGGAGGAAAGGAGGCTGCAGTGGTTTGAGAATACTTCTCCCTATCCCCCTCCCCAAACTGTCCTCTTCCCCTCTCTTTGGCCACGTTCCTCTTCTTGGACAGTAACCACCTGTGGAGGAGAAGGGGCAGGACTCCAGTTCTGAGCTCAGTTTGCTCCCCTGGCTATCTTGTGACCCACTGATAACATCCAGGGGCTGTACAGCTGTTCCCATAAGCTTTTCTTCCTCACTTTTCCCATTTTACACTAGCACCTGCAGTGTTCAGCCCCATGTCAATATCCTTCAAGTTATTTCATTATGTTCAGGTCTTCAGTGCTGCCTAGGGTCTTCCACATTTCCTTATCTGGTAACTTCTCCACCTCAATCTTTTCAATTTCCTGGATTTATCTAGCTGTTGATCCAAGCACAATTGGATTAATCTAATCAATTTCTCCATTCTTGATCAAGTGTGTATGTCTATGACATGTATATTTTGTAATAAAATTTACATTCTTTGATTCAAGTCTTAAGACCCAATATTCTCTTGTTATAACTATAAAGCACAACATCTTCTGATGCACCAATTCTCTAGGCCCAAGATAAATTCTTATATGTTTGGCTAGTTACACATGTTTAATCTGGATACACATGTGACTGGGGATACTTGGCAACAATATATTTGTTCAGTAAAAAAGTAGTTGACCTAAAGCATACTGAGGCACACAGAGAAGAAACATGCATAACCATATTACTGATGATGTACTAGTAACCATAGTACAATACAGTGACATTATTTTATTCCCTATTTTTCATTGCTGATTTCACAGAAGTTATACAAACCAGATTTTGACCTTTGGCACTAGTACCGACAATCTAGTGCCACATTGGAGCCAGTCAAGTACAGCAAAATCTTCCAACACTTTGTAGCTCAAAGTACAGTAGACTTGTAGTAATTATGCCTTATTAATCATGCCTTGTATTTGCTGAAGCAACATGTGCTCCAACAAAGGGGCAAGTAGTTATATAAAGCACATAATGTGTGAAAGTTTATGCCAAATTCTGATAAAATAGTAGCTGCTTTAAAAGTTATTGTGATTTTTTAGTTTTAGGAAATAGCAACCAAATGGCAAATACTTGGAATTTTGTCCTATTGGTTCTTTTTTCCCATTGACAGGGCAGGGCCCATATGTGTAAACCAGGGGTCAGGTGCAGCAGATGCAGACACCTCTGTCCAGGTTCTGCTTCATGTACACATGAATATATACACATAGGCTGAGTTCACACAATATGATAAGCAACCCTGTAAGGTTACCATGAATCCTTTTTTTTTTAACCATAACCTACCTGGAAGACAATCAAGTGTATTCTATTTTATCATGGTTTCCCATCCTCCCTGCTCACTCATCAGGTGTATCTGTTATTGTTGTTGTTGTTGTTAGTCTCAAAGTCATGTCCGACCCATCGCGATCCCATGGACAACATTCCTCCAGGCCTTCCTGTCCTCCACCATCACCAGGAGTCCACTTCAGCTCACACCAACTGCTTCAGTGACTCCATCCAGCCACCTCATCCTCTGCCGTCCCCTTCTTCTTTTGCCATCTATTGTTCCCAGCATTAGGCTCTTCTCCAGGGAGTCCTTCCTTCTCATTAGGTGGCCAGAGTATTTGAGTTTCATCTTCAGTATCTGGCCTTCTAAAGAGCTGTCATAGGTGGTTCCATTAACAACCTACTGTTGAGGTCCCTGCTAGCCAGGTGACTTACAGACCCACTAAACCAAGTGCCAATAAGGTTCAGTCAGGCGGAGATTCGTTCAGTTTTCTTTATTCAGCTGAG